TTTTTTTTTTTTGAGTAATACTATATTTTGATGTAACCGCTGAATACTATTATTATATCTTCTTTTGGTTGAAAATTAATTTTAAAATTTGGAGTTAAAATTAATTATCTACACTTAAATTTTAACGATCTTGAATATTACAACAAATTCGAGTTTCAAGACAGTTATTTGGAAGTACTTTGTAGATTTTGAATTTGTTTTATAAATAAACCATCATCCTATTAATTATTTTTAGTTTTTCATTTGTAGGAATTTCATTGATTATATTAGCTTTATTGATTTATGTTATTTTTATCAGTTTTTATTTTAAATTTAATTTTTAGTTGTTGTGCACACAAATTGTAAAAATTACTGAATTAGTTATTGATTCAATGTAATAGTTTTTTGTTTTTTTTTTGTTACATATTAGAGCTAAAAATCTTACATCCTTATCAAGGAAATAAATAGTGTGCTATAGCGGCGCTATAGCGGCTCAAACCAACTAACGCGACGCTATCTTGCATTTCTGCGCTATACACGCTATTGGCGGCGCTATAGCGCGCTATTGCCGCTATAGCGCGCTAAATCGCCGCTATTGCTGACCGACCCAAAAACATGGTATTATATTCGCACGCGCCCTTTTTTTTGTTCAATTTGTTGCCTGAAGAAGAATGCTAACATCATCTTGTGAAAGTTGAATTTGATCTATGATGCTTTTGATTGTTTTATTCAGCTCAGTGTATGTATTCTTTTTTTTTTTGTCGTTTTCTTTGATTATTTTGTACGACGATGTTTGTATTAATATACACGTGGAGGTGGAATTGAGATTTCGATGTTATTAGGCAAAATTTGAAATTTTTTTCTATAATTTATTTGTGGTATCTTCTTGTGATGATCTCTGGTAATCTGACTAAAATATTCCATTTATAGATTCATGATCCAACTGTCGCTGGGATGAACTGATTGATATGTTTAGTGAAATGTAGCAAGTTTGGACAAAATAAAATGGAAGACTAAAGACGGATACGCAATGTAATCAATTGAAAAATTAGTGAACTTCGGAAATATTAAATCAAGGCAAAACTTCATAAATATTAAATCAAGGCAACCCGTTAATTAAAAAAAAAAAAAAAAGGAGAAAACTATCATTCCATTTAAAATAGCGCGTTATAGCGACGCTATAGCGTGGACAGCAATGCAACGCTGCGGCGTATAGCTGCCGCTATAGCGTGGTGATAGCGCCGCTATAGCGGCCGCTATAGCGGCAATAGCGGTCAGATCAGCCAAACGCGAAATTCGATAGCTCGCTATTTGTTTCTTAGATCCTTATTAATGTGTCTCACAAGGTAGTTGTGATATTTTATAGGAGTTTTATCAATACAAATCTCGAAAGATGTGTAAACTATCAATGCGGGGTCTGAAAGATTTTTTTTCTCAATTCAGGACTTAAATGTTATAAAATTATCAAATTAAAGACCCGAAAGATGGGTAAATTATCAATGCGGGGATGAAAGATTTATTTTTCTCAATTCGGGACTTAAATGTTATAAAACTATCAAATTATGTCTAGATTAACAAAACTCTTAACACCATTAAATTTAGAGTAAAAAAAAATAAAAGATTGGTGTTCACTCACATAAAATAATAAGTAAACATTTGCATAATATTTTAAAAAAAAAAAAAAAAGAAATGGACGATAGCAAGAAAATCGAGCTAGAGCTCAATACTTTCTTTAATTTTCTTCAACAATCTCGTATTTTCCTTAATTTTCTTTATTTTTTTTTTCTTTTTTAACTTTGTAACAAATTTGGTGTTTTAAAACTTCAAATTATCTCTCAATTTAATGGTGTTATGAGTTTTGTTAATTCTAGACTTAATTTTATAGTTCTATAACATTTAAGTCCTGAATTGAGAAAAAAAATCTTTCAGGCCCCGCATTGATAGTTTACCCATTTTTCGGGTCTTTAATTTGATAGTTTTATAACATTAAGTCCCTAATTGAGAAAAAAAAAAATCTTTCAGGCCCCGCATCGATAGTTTACCCATCTTTCGGGAACTATTTTTTATTTTTTATTTTTGTAATAAAAATATTATAGATCTAAGTATTAAATTATACTCGAACAATTATTAGATTAAATAATTCAAATTGCACATGCATTATATTATATATTAAATATAATCACCACAATAATTATATTAAAAGATTAATATATACTGTATCAAATTTATATTATCTATTTTTTTAATTTTATTTTTTACTTTGGTGATACTTTTATGATTATATTTATTGTTATACCCAAAGTATATGTAAGATTATATTATATATTATATTCCTATAATAATTATCATTAATATATGATAAATTCCACATTTATATTTTTTTATTGAAATCTAAAATTTCAGCTATAAGCAGTTAATTTAATAATTTATTTATATATAATGATACATTTTATTAAATACTTTATTTTTTATTTTAGTTGACATTTTTGTATACAAAGTTTATAGGAGTATAATTTTTTATGTAATCACAGGGTGGGTTACAAGTTAAATATAATTAATACACATTTATTATAAAACCTAAACATAAATTCAATTACCAACTACAAAAACGAATGAATTAAGTGTGGTCCCAAATTTAAGTTCGTTTAAATTTAGTTGAGTCAAAGTCACTTACCCCCAATTAATACGCATTAAAACATAACAATAAGCTTCCTAACGGATTATATTTATAAATACAACTAAAATATATAATACCCCCTTTTTATTAAAAAAAATTTACATTTTCCATTTGTATGTTAAAAATTACAAATTTTTATATAATGACATAAACTAAAAGTATATTATTGTACTTAAAATTATATTAGTGTTATTTAAATAATCAGAGAATATTATAAGTTTACTTGTTGTATATAGAATGTTGGCTCCACTATGGAGTCAACTGTTGGATTAATGGCAAAACCGCATGCATAATTACAATTATAAACTGGTTATGGACATTCTAATCAGTGTTTTAAATAGCTCGTTGTATTGTTTTTTTTTCAAAAAAACGCGACGTAGCTTTATATATATAGCGTTTTTTTTTTTCCGAGAAGCTTATGCGAAATGCTGAAATAGTACACTTTTTTTCGCTATTTCACACCATTTTCCGCTACTCGGCGCTATATTTTCGCAACGACATTTACACAATAAAATACTCAAAAAACTTAAATTTATATAGATTAGAGTTATATTTTTAATTGACCTAAAAACAAAAAAAAAAAAATTGATAATTATTTCAAATTAAAAGTTTGAAAATACAAAGTATTAAGTTGAATAGTGCAATATATATCGGTCCATTTCTATTATATACGTATCATTATATTTTTGTGTATTGAAATTGGAAAATAATAAATTCAGATATAGTTGTTAGAATTAAATTGTAATTAAATTAAAAAAATAATTACAATGTATATGCTTAAAACTAAATTATGACTTATCTTATTATATTTTCGTTCTTTTTTCTTTTACTTTTTTATATATTTTCTTTAACATTTTAATATTTATTCTACGATATTTACATTAAACATTTGTAAAAAATAATTATTAAATGTTATTTTGAGTTAATTCAAATATTATGGTAATTTTTATAAATAACCATCTAATTTTATTATATGTAAATATATATATAAATTTCTATAAGATGATTTTTTATACTCAAATAGGTTAGGTGTTTTAAAACACAGATTCTAATAGGAGCACAAATTTTAGAATAGATTATAATATCTTATCCAATAATGTTTCCCTACCCACAGTAGATACATGTTAATATGCTCACCGCTTATGTGACATGCATCACTGTGCATGTCACATAAGCGACGGACATATTAACATGTATCCAGGGTAGCATTATTCATATCTTATATTACATTAAAAAAAAAAGAATATTTTATATGCAAAGAATTCATTTCACAAAAGCGGCAACAAATGTCGGAGCTCGGTGCTACAAAAGGCGGCGCCACCATGTGACGGTGGTCCTCCGCCACTAAAGAACCGTCACTGTACGAACCACCGCACGCAAAGACACATCAACCAATCAGTAGATAAATTGAAGATCCCACCAGCAATCATCACCCTCTTAAACCATACTCAAAACAGAGCTTTTGCACATCGCACGGTACTGCGCTTTTTTCTTTACTGTTTCATTTCCTTTTTCTACTTTTTTCCCTCTCAATCATTCCCCTCTCTCTCACGCACACGCACAGTTTGCTTTTCAGCTTTCATCAATGGCGTCCGGTTTACGTTTGAAATTGTGCCGTTGTTTGAGCTGCGCGATGGAGTAATTTATTGGTATTTTTTTTTTTAATTTTTTTTTTGG